GCAGACCAGTCTCCAGGCATACCTCCCGGCCTTCCCAGTCGCCTTCGTGGGCCAGCTATCAGGGGCCGTTCATCACGCATGCCACCACTCATTATCAGGTGTTTGTCCACAAGCTGTGCACCCCCGAGGTCAGGGCGATCTGGGTGGAAGGTTCTGGGCGACTCACGTTGTTGAGCGTGTTGGTGGATTGAGTGAGTACGGAGAGGAAAGCTGTGAGCTTGACGTCCTCGTATTCCTGTATGAAATTACCCAAAAAGTCAGCGTTGTAATGTGATAACACATTGCTTGACACGCGAGAAAAGCAGTGGACAGGAAGTATCGGGTAACACGATATGAGTTTGAGAGAAACCAGACTCACAGTATTGAACTCCTCACGGAAAGCGCTGTTCTCGCTGGCAGGCAGAGAAGCAATCAAGGCAGAAAGTGATCGGAGAACGCTATGGTCTTTCGGAACTTGACCTACGCAGTGAAGTAAGCGTCATGGTTCACTGTAAACAAAATATCAAGGGAGTTTGAACCTGCGATGGCATTTGCTACATATTGCACCAGCACCAAGATTCTTTCATGTAGCATCTTCACGGCAGCCTGTTGTGTATGTAAATGTGATTCCACTGCGAACATGAGATGGACGCCAGTTACACCGTGTTGGCCACTTACAACTGGTACTTCCCCCACCACCCTTAGCTGTCCAATCCACAGCAATACGCTCGGCTTCGCCAGTCTCTACCTTGAACGGCACTTCAATGAATACAGATCGTGTCCTCCTCTCCCTGATTTCGACCGAGGGTTCATACGCCCTGAAGGGAAGGGCTTGACCTGTAATGTCGGTCGTGGACGATGAGCTTGTAGAGCATTGGAGAACAAGGAGAAGTGGCGTTGAGCAGTATCCTGTAAACTGTAGAACGAGCGTTAATCGCTCAGAGAAGTTATGGATAATATACCTGCTCGTGGAGTGCTATGTGTCGCGAAGTGACTGTGGATGCGACAGTGTACCATCCGATGAACTCCAGAGAGGGGAAAACTTGCTTGTCTACGACACATTGGTAACGGAAGTCGTTCGGTGACGAGCGCGCACTTACATTGATCCCTCCTTTGGATCAGGAAACCGTGATCCACAATGTCATCACGCCCGATTTCGGTAGCAAGTTCGAAGCTATTGACAATCTCCACTTCTCGGCCATTTTGCGTACCGAGCAATGCACCCAAAACTATGACGATCCTACGTAAAGTAGGCAGCGGTTAGAGTAGCGGGAGAGGTCACGGACCAAAAGGTACAATCGATTTCGTTTGCAACTTCAATCGTGTCAAATGCTCTGATATGTTCAAGATGGGTAAGGGGTGTCTACGTGTCGTTATCAAGTCAAATCACTTCCAGAGACAGTAAAAGGGCGTACAACGAAAGTGAAAGGCCCGAGGTTGCACTAGAGGATAATACAACTGACTGTTCGTCGGTGTCCATGGATGCCATGTTGTGGTGGGGACAGATCTCCCAACTACAGATATTTATGGTATTGCTACTGTGGAAAGGGGCCACCCGTCAGTTCTGGATGGAAAAAGAAAATTCCCATTAGCCGACTTGAACGACTGACCTCGTCATTACTAGTGACGCGCTCTACCAAAAGAGCTAAACGGGACACACTGCACAGCTGCTCGTGCGCAAATACATTTCCTTTGTCGCCGCCAGGCGCGAAAGAGCCTGCCCTTCACTCATTCGGCTGTCGCGTCTGCATCGTAAAGCATAAGCTCTTCACTCGTTCTCGCTCGTCATGTCCGGTTTTGACGCAAACCATGTCTTCTCGGTGTCCGTGCGGGACAGGGCTGCCATTCCCTCTACAGAGACGCCCTCGCAACTAGAGAAACTGCTTCTGGACTTTTTGTTACAGTATAGGGTCGGAGAGGAATTCGTCTATAGGTTAGTGCATGCAAGCAACGAATTACCGAAACGTATTGAACTCTCGCGTAGAGACAAGTTGCGCGCAAACTTGTTGTTGAAGCAGTATCAACTCGAGGTGGACCTCCGCCATCTCAGCTTGTATAACGATGAACTTGCCCATGCCATGCAAGACCGCCCTGCAGATATTCTGCCTTTGGTAACTTGCTCCACCCTTCAGGTTTGCGGGGTAACTGATCCCCTCCGCCTCAGTTCGAAAATGCAGCTACGAAGGCAGCTCGGACGATACTATTCCCCCTTGCTGGTAGCTCGGATGATCGAGCGGAAGTTGCACTACAGTCTATTCCCAGAATTCAGATCATGATGCAATCAGGGTTGAATATGCAACGATTCCGTGATCTAACAGCTGACACCATGAACAAACTTGTCCGCATACCTGGCATTGTGATATCTGCTTCGGTACTGTCTTCTCGAGCTACCAAACTTCACCTTCAGTGCCGAGCGTGTAAATCTACTAAGATAATATATCCCCCCGGTGGGCTTGGTGGATTGGGGGGTGGATCAGATCGCGGCCTCCCGAGAACCTGTGACGCTCCCGAGCTAGAGAACCAAAAGAAAGACTGCCCTTTGGACCCTTATATGATAAGTCATAACAAGTCTACCTTCGTAGATCAGCAAACCCTCAAGCTTCAAGAGGCCCCAGATATGGTTCCTGTAGGAGAAATGCCTCGTCATATGCTGCTTTCTGCGGATAGGTACCTCACTGGGAGGGTAGTCCCCGGTTCGCGCATTATTGCCACAGGAATCTTCTCGACGTTCAATTCCTCACGAAATGTATGTTTTCGGTGTTTTCGTGCCATTCAGCTAATGATGATTCCTCTTCAGAAATCCGCCGGACCTGCTGCACTTCGACAGCCTTATCTGCGCCTTGTACACATTGAAATGTCGTCACCATCGGCTGGGGGTGCCTCGAATCCGTTCGGGACCCAGTTCAGCCCGGAGGAAGAGGAAGAATTTGCTGCAATGGCGAGGAGCGACAACTTCTACGAACGGTTTGCGAAGAGCGTGGCTCCTAGTATATTCGGCTGCCTCGGTCAGTTGTTAGTCCTTGTGCACAAGAAGAAGGGACCTGAGGGCATATTTAGACATCAAGAAAGCTATCACTTGTCTATTATTTGGAGGCTCTAAAAAGGTCCTGCCTGATGGCATGCGTCTAAGAGGAGACATCAACGTTCTTTTGTTGGGCGACCCTGGTACAGCGAAAAGTCAATTACTGAAATTCGTTGAGAAAGTAAGTTCACTCAGGATCAACTTACGAACTCGTGGCTAATATCGCTTCGAGGTCGCACCGATTGCGGTGTATACGTCAGGCAAAGGCTCAAGTGCGGCTGGTTTAACGGCTTCAGTGCAACGCGATGCCATTTCTGTAAGTCACTTCGATGGAGCAATTAGGTGCAGCTCAGTTGAGGAAGTTCAACAGCGCGAATTTTACCTAGAAGGCGGTGCCATGGTACTTGCTGACAATGGGGTGGTGTGTATTGACGAATTTGATAAGATGCGCGACGAGGATAGAGTTGCCATCCACGAAGCCATGGAGCAGCAAACCATTTCCATCGCGAAAGCTGGTATTACCACTGTATTGAACTCGCGGACAAGTGTTCTGGCCGCGGCAAATCCTGTATGGGGCCGCTATGACGAAGGGCGGAGTCCTGGTGAAGTATAACAACTGTAAACTGTTTAAGACTGCCGATGCGATCTTTTCCTTTCAGAACATCGATTTCCAAACCACGATTTTGTCACGTTTCGACATGATCTTCATTGTCAAGGATGAACATAATGAACAGCGGGACAAGGTATGTTTCTCAGTCTGTTCAATGGTCGGGGTGCGTTGAGGCCCTAGCAGATGATCGCCAAACACGTCATGAACATCCATATGAATAGGCCAAACCAGAATACCGATGAGAATGGCGAAGCTGTGGGTGAAATTGATATCGATAAAATGAGGCGGTATATTGCCTACTGTAAGAGGCGAGTGACCTAACCTTCAGTCTTCCAACACCTTGCTAACTTGTCTTCAGTAAATGCGCACCCAGACTTTCATCTGAAGCACAGGAGATGCTGAGCAGCCACTTTGTGAGTTTGCGAAAGCAGGTGCAACAAGTAGAGCGCGACAACGACGAACGGAGCTCAATACCCATTACTGTGCGGTTAGTCCCCAATAAAAGGTAGCCACTCCTATCATTGACGAAGATGCTCAGCCAACTGGAAGCTATCATACGCATATCCGAATCTCTGGCCAAGATCACGCTCTCCACCGTTGTACAAAATTTTCATGTGGAAGAGGCAATACGACTCTTCAAGTTTTCGACCATGGACGCCGTGTCAGCTGGTTCAGTGGACGGCATGTCGCGCGGTGAGCTCAACGAAGAGATGTCTCGAATAGAGAAGGAACTTCGAAGACGGCTCCCTGTCGGGTGGAGCACGAGTTATCAGAGTTTAGTCCGTGAGTTCGTAACCCAGCAGGGCTACTCGAACCACGCACTTGAACGCACTCTTTACGTTCTCGAGAAACGGGAGGTCATCAGATACTCAAGTCAGGTAAGCACGAAAGTATGCGAGTCGCCCCCCCTTTACTGACCATGGGTCGCAGAAAAAAGTCGTACACAGGTGAGCCCAAATGAGCACTTATTTGACGGTATTTTCACTGACGATGGTGTACGCGTAGGGTTGGTGTATGAATCACTGGAGTTGTTCCATATGTTCCTAGGCTTCCTGTATCTCGGGCAATCCATATATATGCCGTGTATTACAAAGTATTGTAGATTTCCGTAGTGATTTGCACTCGGCGTGGCGGATACTCGAAGAATTCCAAAGCGCTCACGTTACGAGGAACACCGTGCACGTCTACAACTCACCGAACCGTGCAGTGATCAAGTATCTGCGAAAGATATCAGAGTGGTGAGTTGTTTCCTCTGCCGAAACACTGAAACACCCTGTGCGATGGACAAGACTTCACACATAATATTAATCGTAGGCGAAGCTGTCGCACCAGCCGCGATAAATACGTTTTTATCTTTTCAGGGATATGTTTAAAGAAGAAAAAAGTCATAGCCCACCGCGAGGGTCGAACTCGCAGCCTTCAGATCACTGCCACGTACGACTTGTACGGACCGTAAAAGTCTGACGCTCTATCCGATTGAGCTAGGCGGGCAGTATATTTCCATGAACTGAATATTTACAAGTCCATTAAACCTCACAAGGTTGAATTCGAGTCACGGGATCAAACGCGACGCGCTCTATCGATCTCAGAGAAAGGGTCGGGCGTAACCAAAACACGGTTCGAATGCTAGGGAACTCAAGCAAGGCGAGCTTTTCAAAAGATGAAGAGGATCCACGGCAAGTTGGACATTATCATCGTGAGACTCCGGCTGACCCGTCTCTACGTGCGTGCTAGGGCATGTACGGTGAACCCATCTATAGAAGTCATAGAGATCTCGTCGGACTCAGATTCTGATATGTACGTCCTTGAAATAACCATCGGCGTCATATGAACCTAATTTTCTTTGCATCACAGTGTTCAATGCACTCCGTAAGCCCAATCGGCGATGCCAGTGCACAAGTTTCTAACAACTCCATTTCTGTTCGACAGGAACACGGATGGTTTGGGGCGTAGGAATGTAATCGAATTGACAGATAGCGACACGTCTCTGGAGCTTCCTGACCTGCTGTCCCCGATAGCTACCCGATCACGTCATCCGAAAACTCCGGGGAGAACGAGCCCTACTGCACGGAAATATATGCCACTCTACGCCGACATGAGTGACGATGGCTCTGATGACGATGTGGTTCTCACTCAGTATGTGTCCCTCCGTCCGGTCCACTACCCTTGATCCAATGAGCATTTGGATTCGGTGATAATTCTCCGGAATCTCGAAGGCCAGAAAGGATGAGTTACCCAACAAAAAAAAACACAGAGCACGGGTTGCCCACAGCGCCAGAAGGGGAAAGCGATACCTTACCAGTTCCAGCACGCTCTCCGCGGAAAAAAGCGGCGCCCACCTCCGCTAAAAAGTCATCAACAAGAATATCAAAGAAAGTGCGAGATGCAGCGGAGCAGTTTAGGAGGGAGAAATACGCAGCAAATCTGTTTGCAGAACTCAACCACACGGTCTTTGGCGATGGACTTCCTAAGGATACAAAGTTAGAATGGAACAAACGGTTATTGTCCACAGCAGGGCGAGCGCGCTGGTACCGGTGGGTATCGTTTGACTCTGGAAATCATGGACCAATACGTTTGTGAATGTAGGTCGCGAGATGGTATACAAGCCACGAAGATTGAACTTGCCACGAAGATTTTGGACTGTGATGGTAAGTCGAACGTATTGGAAGACTATCGAAGCTACAGACATGTCGATAGAACGTATTCGCAATACTCTTTCTCATGAGATGTGCCACTTGGCATGCTGGGTAATCGATAAAAATCCACGGGAAGGACACGGGCAACTGTTTAAATCGTGGTATGACTCGGATTCGAGGTATCGATGCAAACGTGACTCACATTTACTGGAGGGCGGTCAAAGTCGCGTTCAGCTACCCCGACATCCAAGTTTCAGTAAGATGGGTCACGCCGGCCGCCTGGACGATGTACTGACTGCCACGGAAAGACTCGTCATAACTACCAGATTATGCATCCTTATCAGTGGAGTCAGTGTATATCTCCTTCTGTCAGGATGAGGATAGTTACTGATAACTATCTGATAGGATGTACCCTATGCTCAAAAGTGTAAGTGGAACATCCTTAAAAGGTAGGCAAGGGGTGACGGTACTGGTTCAGGTACGGTAGATACTCCAAGTCCATAAAACCAGATGAGTGCAGTAAGTCCTTGTATTATGATTGCCACGTCTCTGCGTATCGACGACCTTTACTAGTATGCGGAGTTTGTAAGGTTGGCAAACTCATTCCGTTGTTCTCTCGACAAATGAATGGGGCACAGAGGACCGGCGTTATGGCGAGCTTGATCCCCAGTGGTGAGGACACTTCGAAAGATACTCAGCTCGCGATACCCGTTAGTCCCTCACTCTCGGCGGAAGAAGTGCTTGCAGATGCACTGGAGCATCTATCTATCGAACGCCGCGAGTTTTAGAATTTAGAGCACCAGTACAATACTGAGATAGTGCATGAGGGATATGAACTCACACTGCTCTCCTTGATGCGTCATTAATAGCAGTAGTCTCTCGATTGGCCAACGTTACAGCGTTTAGGGCGTCCCCCCGGGTCCGGCCAAGTGCCGGCCCTGCCAAGGAACGATTTCCCCATTTATGAAATTATCCACTCCACCCAGACCCTATATGTTCGTTACCTGCAGGACTCGTTGCAAGATCCCCTTATCTCTAGGTAAAGCATTGCCTCTTGTTACCACCACCGTCTTGTGGGCTAGCCATGGCCAGCTTGTCTAGGAAGTTTATCGGTGCCGTCCAGGATGAGTGGCAGATGTTTAGGTATCTTTCAAGTTTGCCCACGTAGACCCTCAACCTCACCTCAAGGACCTCAGCGACCGCCCTCGGGATTATAGCGTCGGTGCACCTATAGGTTTTGGAGCATCCTCCATTGTTTACGACGCTGTCTACCGTCCCCCGCCTCCGCAACGTCCAGTACAATGTGCTCTTAAGGTCCTCGACCTCGATATCCTTTCTCCTCGACCTCTGTCTTTGCTGCAGCGTGAAACACAACTCATGTCTCTTTCGAAACACCCGAACGTCCTACGTGTACGCGGTTCGTGGATAGACGGCCACAAATTACACATTGCCCTTCGTCTCATGAACAAAGGGAGTGCTGCGGACATCATGCGCTATGGCTGGCCAGGTGGCATGGAAGAGGAAGTGATCAAATGTATCCTCAAGCAGGCTCTTGAGGGCCTAAAGTATGTTCATGACATCTCGTGCTCTGTGGATTTTCATCAACCAATTCTCAAGTTACCTGCATGTGAACGGCTTCATTCATCGCGACATAAAGGCAGCCAACTTGTTAATCGACGATGACGGCACTGTTCTCTTGGGTGATCTAGGCGTAGCGGCATCTCTCACAGAAGAGACAGACACTCCTTGCTGGCCCACCCTAAATTATGAGGGGGGCACGAGGGACTCTGACCGTGTTCAAGCGCCATTGAATTCAGTCACTGGGCGTTCACGCCCCCAAGTGGGAAAGCGGAAGTCGTTTGTTGGGACGGTGTGAATGATCCCTTCACTTCGTGTTTGAGGTCCTAACGGCGCCACAGCCGTGTTGGATGGCTCCGGAGCTTATTGAAGGAAGGCGGTACGACGTCAAAGCTGACATATGGTCGTTTGGGATAACTTGTATCGAATTGACGCAAGGGCGGCCTCCAAGGTCGCGTGAAAGCCCTCATTCTGTTTTGTTGCAGATGCGAGTCCTTCCTACGTCCTCATCCCCGATCGATATTCATTCTGCCTCCGTTACAGTGTCCAAGGCAAGCCGCCTACCCTGGACCGAGAGAGTGGCGTTCACCGGTACTCCCAAACGTTCAAAGACATTGTTGACGCCTGCCTTACAAAGGACCCTGCCAAGCGGTGCGTAATGCTCAGCCACCTGGCGTCGCCTTATCAAAACTTTATGTCAGACCCACAGCTGCGCAGCTCTTGCAGACGCCATTCTTTAAAAGTGCAAAGAAGAAGTCGTACCTTATAGGGACGATCCTGGCTGGTCTTCCGCCTCTTGCAGTGCGTCAGGAGCGACGCCAATCTCCACCGAGTCTTACAAGCCAAGGTACGATGGATTCGTGGGATTTCAGCTTGTCCGCAATCGGGTCCATCTCCCCATCTATGAATGGGGCGGTCAATTCGAGAGTACCACAGGGTGCAAGGAACTTCCCGTCATCACCTAGCCTTAGGGGATGTTTCGAATTGGATTCCTTCCAACGTTCCGTCTTGTCACACAAAGATCTTCACCCACAAATTGAACTGGTGACCCCTGAAGATGGACTGGAGGAAGACCTTTCTGATGCACGTGTCGCTATAGCCGCAGACGGTCCACCAGGCACAAGCGGTCCTCTGTTGGATGCTGAAGATTCGAGAGATGAAGGGGAACGAGATATACCAGGATCATTATCTCCGCCCCTTTCGTCTTCGCCAAGTGCATCATCAGAATCTTCACGATCTAAATCCTCGCAAATGCAGGAATTGGAGCAACAACCGACCATCCCATTGGAAGATCAGCGTGTCTCCGCTTCCGCCCCAATCCCAATTCGTCGGCGCATGCGTTCAATGTCAATATCTCTTGTTTCACCCTCGCCTCATACGGAAATGCCAGGTACAGCGATATCTGCCACTGCACCGAGCGTATGGGGCAGGATTACTCGCAGTGCGTCTCGCAATGTCCTGAAAAGCGATGAATTGCCTGCAAAGGATAGTAAGATGGGTGGAATTGCACGTTTCTTTGGCAGGCGCAGGTCATCTTCGTCGTACTCTCAGTAGTGTTGCCGTCGAACCGAGCTCAACTCGAAGTAAGTTCAGTTCGATTCGAATTCTTTGTCAGCTCGGTACAATTCGGTGGTGTGAAGCAGAACGAAGTATAGCACCGAACTGAAACCGAAGTGGCATTATCAATGACAAGCGACTGATTGTAGATTGGTAGCACTGATTCTAATCCAACCCCTGATTTTATCTGCTGAACTACCTATCCCTTCATGTTGCTGTGTTGGACAGTCATATAAAACCAAGGTCTTGCAAATAGCAACCTTAGCGAACAATTTCACCATGTCACCGCCTAACAATTGCTTGAATTCAAGTTGTGGTTTACAAGTGTAAAACTCTATTGCCCATACGTTACAGACATTAGCATGGATGCATCGTCTGTGCCCCATGTTGGGAATGGGTTAGCTGCTGGAGCTTCTTCCACTGTCAGCTTGCAGCCACCACAATGGCCAGCTGCACAGGCAAATTCTCCACTTATTTCACCGCTCGTTTCTCCACTGCTGAATGGAAATCCCAATCAGTTCTTACCAGCTGCACAGTTCCTCTCGAGCAATACTTTCATCGGAGGACCAGGTGGAGTGAACTCACAGTGTCACAGCCCTCTTTTGCTGTCTGGAGTCTCTACACCACTTCCCTGCAACCCGCCAGTAACCTTCCAGTTTCCTCACTGGAATCCACTTGATGGCACTAACAGCATGGCCAGTCAGCCTATTCCGGGGCCGA